AAATGGCCCCCAACGCAATGTAATGATGGAAATGATGTCATCACATTCCGACATCGGGGGCGATGCTCTAGTTTTCGGGCAAAATTCTATGATAAAATTGGGCTCAAACCATACAGTTTTGCCCAAAAACTACAGTGTCACTCCCCAGATGTGGGCAACATGATGATGTCACTTCTGGGTGATGTCATTGCAACGCTTGTGCTCCAGAAAATCCCAGAACAGACCTAGGAGCCCCCCACTGGAAGCCAGGTAGGACCTGGCAACCCTAAACTATTAAACCATGACTAGGATGACTGTGTAGGAAACCAGCAGCAGGGTCACCTCAGGGCCACATGGAAGACAATAATGGGAACCATGTTGCAGACAGATACACGTACTGGCCAGCACCCCTCTCTCCCAGAATACTCACATGCCGCTCCCTGCCTCCCTTCCTCTCTCTCACACGCACTTCAGATCTCTCCCTAACAACCATCTTATTTGGTCAAGCATTTGACTTATCCCTAACTATAAATATATTTTTCCCAATTCAGCCATCTGTTACTCTTCTTTCCTATATTTCTCCCCTCCCTTTGGTGCGTTCCCTGACCTGACATTTATAGTGTAAGCTTCTCAGGGCAGGGACAAAATGTAAGGTATATAGTATTAATGCTCTTGTTTGTTATGAATAATAATAAATCTCTTCTACCATGTTGACAGTTTTTCTAGCTGCCACAGTTAACAGACCTGAGCCATGACCGCTACGTGTGTCGTGATTGCTTTGTATCTGACAAAGGGAGCTTTGGCTCTCAAAATCTTATATCCCCAAAATCTTGTGAGTCTCTAAGGTGCTATTGGACTCAAATCTAGCTGTACAACTGCTACAGACTCTTACCTTGTTCGCATGTTATAGCGGACACATATTCAACTTGAATGTACACTCTGATGAGTATGGATCAGTCTATTCTATATGGCAATTATGTTATTATTAATTAGTTATTCATACCCTGCTTTTCTCTCAAATGGGAACCCAGAAGAGCTTCCAACATCAATACCCCTGCCTCCATTTTATCCTCACAACAACCTATGAAGTAGCTTAGGCTGACACTGCAACTGGCCAATGATCACCTAGCCTCCATGACAGGAGGAATTTGAACTTGGGGCCTCCCTGATCCTATGCAGGCACTTTGTTCTACTACACCATGCTGGTTCTCAGGAAATGGTTTTGTTAAGTGCCTATCAGGACTGAATGAGGTGAGCTTGCAGACAGCTTTTAGCATGAAAGGAAAACACAGCTCTGATGCTGGAAGGAGCAGAGAGGGAAGCAGAGAATCACCTTGGAGGATACTAGGGTAGCAGATCTGTAGGACTGCCTCTCTGCCACAGGTCCTCAGTCCTTTCTCTCCTCAAAAGGGAACCAACCCAGGTAAGCACTATCCCAGAACTTCCTACCACTTGGAGAAATGGGATTGGGTTTCCTGGAGAGAAACTGTGAGCTGGTGAGAGTGAGCCAGAATACAGAACAAAAACAGGTATTTGTTTTCCTATCTGCCTGAAATTTGTCAAGGACTACCCGTAAAAGCTACAGTCCCTGAAAACCGCATCCCAATTGGATTGAAAGCCATTACAGTTTAATTATATGGCCATGAAACCAAAGGGGAGTAAAACCAAATTAATACAATAATGAACTAAACAAAAATGAAAAACGTTTTCAAACAAGATGGAAAAAGGAAATTATGGTGGAGATGCATTCAGCTGGTGCAGTCTATTACACTGGCTACCAACTGAGTACCGGATCCACTTCAAGGTGTTGGTACTGACATTTAAAGCCCTGCATGGCCTGGGACCAACGTATCTCTATATACGTGCCCTAGAGAGCCTTGCACTCAGCTGACCCACATCTGCTGGTTATCCCCAGTCCAAGGGAAGTCCGCTTAGCCTCGACTAGGGCCAGGGGGCTTTCTGCCCCGGCCAGGACCTGGTGGAACATGCTGCTGCTTGAGATCAGGGTCCTGTGGGACCTTCTACTCTTTTGCAGGGCCTGTAAACTGGAGCTGTTCTGCCAGGCCATTGGTTGAGGCAGTGGGTGTCCACTTGGGCCAGGGATAAAGATATCCGTATAAAGTTTATTTCCCCCCTTCTTAAGAAATATCCAGGTCGCTCTGATACAGAGCTTTCCAAAATGCTTTTCATGGGTGTCAACCCAATAGTTACAGCTCCCTGTGCGAGATTCTTATCAGTCGCATATAAATTACGCCAAGAGATATTATGAAGTGTACCAGAATTGAGGCAGTGGGTGTCCACTTGGGCCAGGGATAAAGATATCTGTATAAAGTTTATTCCCCCCCTTCTTAAGAAATATCCAGGTCGCTCTGAATCAGAGCTTTGCAAAATGCTTTTCATGGGTGTCAACCCAATAGTTACAGCTCCCAGTGCGAGATTCTTATCAGTCGCATATAAATTACCCCAAGAGATATTATGAAGTGTACCAGAATTTTAACTGTTTTAAACTTTTAAATATTGCTGTGTATATATTGTGCATAAGATTTTCTCACGAATGGTACTATATGATTTATGCTGGTCAATGACTGTATTAATAAAGAAGGACACTGGTTGAGGCTCTCCATCTCTCTGCGGCTCTGACTGAGAAGATCTTAGTTACCCAGCAGCTCCAGCTTTTGAGGCTATTGCACTTTAACTGATAGTGCTACCTGTCTTAATCCATACTGTTTTAACTGTTTGAACCACTGAATTACTGTGTTTATATTGTTGTCGTAATCTGTTCTGAGCCTGCTCACGGGGAGGGCAGAATAAAAGTCTAAATAAATAAATATTTCTAGAGGGACAACAGGTATAAAGAGGTCATTTTGTCTGTTCCCTACCAGCTGTAAGAATTATTAAGGCAACTGCATACAGAAATAATTAGGACATGCCAGACTGTAAATATGAAGCAACAGAGTCTGTGGACAAAACTATCTAAAATAGTTTATGGCTTAGGCAGCCACCTTGTCAGTCTCTCCTCCCTTCACTAGATAATACTTGAAATCAAAGCCATTACTAATGTAAATTTGCCTTCTCTCCTGTGATTGTGGTGTCTACTGTTCTAAAAATAGTAAGGTGCTATGACTGCTTTGAAATTCCCAAGATGATAAAACCCGAGTTGTGAAGGTTGTCAGTATAATTACACACTCCCCGTTGTGTTTTTTAAAATCAATCAGTGTACTTTATTATTTGCAATTTTAAAAACGTGTAATCACACTTGGAAATGGATCCTATTTCACAAGTCACTACAGATGGTACTTTTAAAGCCATAATCATTATACAAGCTTGTCATCTATGGTTTTTAGTGCCAAAGTAAATGGGAAGTGAAATGATACACATGTAAAGGTTCCTACTGTCACTGAGGTATAAGCAGCAGGATGAAGCAGAGTTTTGTGAAATTTATGATATGTCATATAGCTTACACAGAGATAAGACAGAAACAGACATTTCCATGTCAGTGTCACTGGAGTTGGAAGGGCTATCATAAAGAAATGTGTACTCACACAGAGGTAAAAAACACAATTACTATTGTTCACAGGAAGCCCTCAGTGGGAGAGCATCCACCAGAACTATTTTTATTCCCATAGGAAGTGCCCTGGCTCACTGTACTTTGGCTGAACAGTCAGCTATGAACTGTTTCATACTTTAGGCAGGTGCCCAGATCCACAGGTGTAGACCATGGTCAACAAGTATAAAGGGGAGAGGTGCACACATTAAATACCAATCTGGGGACCTGGCCAATTGCTGTTCCTGGCAGCTGCCCCACAGCATTTGGGGATGTGCTTCTTCCATTCAGACTTTCTGAGCTTAAATGCAGCTAACACCAGTGAACATCAGTGTAACTTGTGTTCCTTCATAAAATATGAAGAAGTTCTAAAGTAGTTCACCAACAAAGATGTCTGGCATGGCACCCTGGCAGAGCTACTGTCTAGATCTCAAATGGTTCTTTCACCCCCAAATTAATCATGTGGATGAGGCAGACAGCAATGAGTTATATTAGGTCCTTACAGTCTGAATATTTCCTTTTTGCTCAACAATCTTTGTTTCTGCCTGAAGTAATCTGCACAGTTCATTATGAAATTAAACTGTGCATTACTAATGAGCTGTCTGGTATTTTAGGTGTATTTGTACTGCAGAAACAATGTTTGTGTAAATACTTTCCACATCATTGCCCTTACATATCGGATAACTCAAACGCTGGACTCAAAACTTCATAAGCAACCAGTAGGATAAGCATATACAAAACAAGAATCACTTGAATCTGGAGGTATTCTATCAATTTTGTTATGATTCTCTACAAGAGATATGCCAAAAGACCACACATATATTCAATATTCATTGTAGCTGAAGTTTCTGAACAGATGGCTAAAGAGAAAAAGTCATAGCAGCAATAAATCAAGAGACTATGCATTCCTGTTTTTGTATTGTCCAGACACGTTTATATTTTTCCAAAGTGCATTAAGTGCTACAAACAGTAACATTTAGGTATTTATTCCCTTCTGTAGCTGTGTGTGTACACATATATAATTTTGCATACATATGTACACATCGGAAGTTTCATATATAAATATACATATATACAGACAAACTACCATTTATCCATTTATAGAATCTATACATGTTCTAAATTTCAATTCTGACATTTAACAATTATTTTTAGCTGCTGTGCAAGTTGTAAATACTGTCTAATGCCCCATCCCTGCAATAGAAACCCAAAATATCCCAAAGGGCGCCATATATCTAAGGTAATTAAATTTAAATAGCCTGTTCGTCAAATAAGTTCCTGGCGATTTTTAATTCTGATATATCAAAGGCACTGTTTTCCCTTTGGGACCTTCCAATTTTCTTCTGTATAAAAAAATAAACACTCGTATTATAAAAGATAAAATCTCTGATATAAGCCATAGAATATATTTCCAGCAATCCTGAGTATTTAACGATCCATTCCACATTATATTAAATAGCAAGAGTTCCTTGGGGAGTACTGGGTTGTATGCTTACTGTACGAACCAGGAAGAATTTTGCATGCACAGGATCCACCTGCCAGTCAAAGAATATACTGCAAAAAGCTCCTGCTGAAGTTGCGTACTGCAGTGGCACTGCTTGGGGGACTCTTTGGAACCTACCTCACATTTCTGAATGCTCCCCCTTCCTTGTGCTTTAAAACAGAGTACATCCCTTTGGCAATGAGATAATAAAAACCTGAAGTCAAGCCAGTTAAGACCTCATTAGAAAAGATGCCACTCTAGTCAGAATTTCAGGTGCTCATCTTCTGGATGGATAATTCCTTGTCCCCCATGGATAATATTGATACCTAAAAAGATTTAAAAGTGGTAAGTGTTTTATGGAATGAGAAATTCTATAGCAATTCCAGGCACAGAATAAGACTGAATCTTTGTGCTATCAAACAGATGTACAATGGGGATACTAGCAAAGCCAGAGGGGGAAAAGGACTTGTGGAAAGAATAAAACTCTCATCCTATAGGCTTTGGGTTGTCTCCACATTCAGAACTGACAAGTGAAACACCAACTGGAGTTCTGAAAACTGATACTAAGAAAGGCTGGTGACTAGTACCCCTAGAAGCCAACTTGTTTTTGTATAAAGGAATCTAATGTTCTTTTGGTTGTCAGCCTTGACAATTTCTGATTAAAATTAATAAGCATCATTAAACTCTATGGAAAACCCAAGGAAGGAAGTTCTTATGAGATGCTTTCTCCCTTACAGAAAAGTGAGCTGTCAGTTCTCTGGTTTGTGTAAATTTAACTCCAGCAAGCGTTTGATTTTACTATGAAATGGCAATTTGGATGCCTGAGATCTGTTCATCACCTGAGTACAATCTCATTTAAACCAATCGAACTGGGCACACCCAACCTCTCCTGTAAATGTAGTCCAGTCACCTCGGAGGAAAGACCGAAACAATGGCATTCAGGAGGGGGGGGGGTAGGGAGACCAGCAGCAGATTTCAAGACGATGCAGAATGATATGCAGGTTATTGGATGGGATTTTTTCTCTCCAAAGATTGCATGCTTCCTTTCAACTATTTCTAAATTTTACATACAACCTCACTTTCTCATGCTAGATCTCTTTACAGTTCTGCCTTTTGTGTTACATTCATAATCAAGTATCAGCTAGACTTGTTCTTAGTCTTGGCATATTTTTTTTCCCCATCAGTGTTTGTTTTTCATGAGGGGCTTCTGTAAGAAACCCATGCCGTCAACACGAATACAATGGAGGTGCCTTTCATTGCAAAAGTGCTTCTGCTGGAGGAGGGGATATAATGAGCAGAAATGGCTGCTAAGGATGCGCTGTTCTTCTGTTAGAATGCAGCAGCTGTGACCATCAAAACTACTGGCAAAAATGTGCAACATCACTTTTATCCAGCGCATGCCTACATACCATAAAACCATGCATTAAATTAGAACAGAAATAGAAAGCTGTAGTTACGAAGCAGAATACAAAGATGCATTTATCTAGCATGCCATAAGTTAGCCTTTTGAAATGAAACTCAGATTTACCTATTTGAGGTGAAATTGTAATACCCGCTTTCCTCCAGAACCTCTTCAGTCAGAGTCTAGAAAGTGAAAGGATGTCAGGTTTCAGTAGATGTTAATAAAAAGGAACTGGCATGCACTAACAAAACTGGTGAAAATAATGTTAACATCTGACCTGCATTTGTTCATATGTTATTCCTTCATCCAGATCAAAAGAGCTAGGAAGACCTATGAGTAAATTATATAAGGATAATTTATATCAGGATAATGCTGAATAACCGGATATTCCTTTTTCATAAACTGAATCACTGTAGACCATTTTTCTTAAATGGGAAAAAACCACAGTTTTAAGATTATGTTCATCGTCCTTCCCTTGGCTAGGATATAATCAGCTACTGTCTGGCCTCAGGCCTTTTCAGCTACTGCCCCACTCTTGTGGAACAGCCTCACAAAGTAAGTAAAGCATGCATCTATTCTTATGGTTCTCCAACAAGGATGTAAAATGAAGCTTTATTGATTGTAAAAGGTATTTAGTTGATAGTTGCATTGTTACTGCCTTGGGTTCTGACTGAGGTAGGAAAAAGATGAGCTGTAATGCATAAAATGTTAGTCTTATGGGTTAATAACTGATTCTTAGATCTGAGGGGAAAACAACACATGCAACTTACAGAAGCAGACAATGAAATAAACGGAGCAACAATTAAAGACAATTAGCAGGAGGATCTGTAGCTTTCATCAGCTTCCTGATCCAACCTGATCCAAATTCATTTTTCCCATTCAAGCAACAACCTGCTATGTGAAATATGTGATTTCCCAAGTCTAATGCTCTTAACACTTTCTAGTAAAATGTTAACACTGTCAATAGATCTTCCCATCCTTGATAGATACAAATGGTTAACAACTTTTCTCCATCAAATGAACAGACGCCTTCCTTATTGGCTAAAAAGTACCAGCCAATACAAAGTGTGGGATTTCAGTTCACCTGAAATGCACAAATTTGGCTCCTGTTAATATAACAAGCAGGGAGGATGAGACTCAGGAGCAGGATGGAAGAGATGGTATGGAGGTTCTGTTCCTTTGTGAGACACCATCTTGAAAATGACTCAGGACAAAATACTACTTTAATCTTTGAACTCTACTTTTTGAAATGCAATGAAAATTTCTGATTTCTTTTTATAAGTATTTTCTTTAAGAAAGTGAAACTATGCTTATGGATTCACTGTTTCCAGTGACTCACAACCTGGATGCCTTAGTCACATTATCAAAGCTTGCTTCCCTAATAGTATCGGGTTCCTCAGTTCTCTCTTTCTAAAAATAATTAAGAATGAACAGGTATCACTGGATGCCTTTAACACCATTAGTGGCAATTTAGGATTTTTCCAAGGTTTTTTGTTCGTTTGTTTTTTTTAGGAAAGAGGAATAAGTGAGTCTTCAGCCAGGACAAGGAAAATTACTCTGCCTGAAGAGCTGAAAGGGCAAGAAAAGCACTTAGCACGTTCTAACAGGAAGATCCATTCCTTTCTGTTACATCACAGCTCCAATCCAGAACTTTGTTCTGGGTTTGGGAGGTCCAATGAGTGTCTATAGTTGTGCCAGCTTTTCAATTCATTCAAATAAAGGAAACATTTTTAAAAGCATGAGGATTAGCTCCCTCCATTTCAACTAATGGGAATCCCTGAAGTCACAAAAGTCGCAATTTCTTCAATTTTCATGTTCAGTTATAAATATATATTGCATCATAAAAATGATCATATCCCAATACTTGTTCAGATAACAGTAAGTTTCTTAGTTATTGATATATTCCATCTCCTGTGAAATATCACACAGAAATGCCATATCTGGCATGTGCTGTTTTAATCTGCCATTCTGTAACATATTGTGTTTATGTTGTAGCCTCTTTCCAAAGATAAGAACAAACAAACAATTTTACTTGGAAATATGCACCACTGGGCTCAGTTATAGTTCTAAGTTTGCATGCTCAGAATTACTGGCTTATCATATAATTCAGTTTCAATTTTACTAACCATGACAATGATCCAGAGAGTCAACACACAAATTCAGAGCCCTCCAAAACTAACATTTGGGAACTTGATGCAAAAGCTTTCTAAAGTAGACGACCAGTGAAAATCAGTGGGTTGGATTCCATCTAAAACTTCTGTGCAAACAAGATCGTCTCTGCATGGAAGCATGGTTTTCCCTGCCTCCCTCCACAGCCCAAGATACCCCTTGAAATGCGGTTTTTTGGGGGGGGGGGGGGGGGGGAGAAGCAACAGGAGCAGCAAGTTTAAGGTCAACCACAAGACCACAAGGAAGATCTTGACCGTGGACCTTTTCAACAGGATCCAATCTAGTGCCCCTAAATCACCTTTCAAAATTATTGTGCCAAATCCTCAAAGTACATTTTGAACATATGGTTCGGAGGGGGGGGGGCTTCTAAAAAGAAAACTCTGGAACAGAAAAGTGTGTTTCATTGTGGCTGGTCAGTCATGTGTACACTTTTTATTTCATCTGCAACAGCAAAAAACTTTCACTGGCCCATTAGGAATTAGCTTAATTTTCACATGATTTCTTCCAGAAGTACAAAGATATCAAACTGAGAACTCCAGGATGACCGGCACACACACATTTCCTTCATAATTCCCTAGCCCTCTGCATTAATATGCATCCCATATGCATTAAGCAGTCATTTGTACCCACGCAGTTACTGCATAGCATAATTGTATGTGAAAAACATTTGTTCAAACTTGCTGGGTGACCTTGGGCAGTGAAACACTCTCAGCTTACCGTACCTCACAGGGTTGTAGTAAGGATAATGTGGAGGACAGGAGAACGATACCAACTGCTTTAGGTCACCCACTGGGAGAAAGGTAGCGTACAAATGAGGCAAATAAAAAGAACTAAAATAAGTGAGTCTTCAGTCAGGACAAGGAAAATTACTCTGCCTGAAGAGCTTACTTATAATGAAACATAAACTATAGTACTATTCTACAAGATAAGGATCTAACTCCCATTAACTCAATTTGTCCCAGCTACCATTTCAAACCACTGCTATTTCATATGATGACCGGACAAAGAGAAATCACAGCTTGCCAGAGTCATCCTGTGTGCTCTGTGTAGGAAAGAAGAACTCTGTGTGCCCTAATCAGAAGATGGCAGAGAAGTCCAAGCTAGGGATCACATGATGGCTCCCAGAAAAGACCAAAAGCCTGAGAGAATTTTATTGGTTGATTTTTCTTTTGTAAACCACACTGAGTGCATCGGTATACAAATGTGGTACATTAACTGAGGCGATAAAAATGTGGTAAGTAAATAAGAAAACCTTCCCCGCTGAGACAATATTTTGAATGACATAGTATCAAAGTCCACAAAATGTACAGTCCCTTCAACACCAGTTCTGTTAAGATGAGTTATATACCAGTTTCAATGGGCACATAAAATAAGAATTAACCTCCTGCTTGATAGTCTTTCTCCTCACCTGATAATTCTGAATGCTGTTGTTAAAATAATATATCTGCTTTTTGTGGTGATTGTGTCATCCTTCTTGTTAAGGCTTTATACTGCTAAGAGCTTACACAATATTTTCATATAAATGCTCCTGTCTATACCCCATCTCTTATTCCACTCACAAGTGTAGCTACTCTCTTAGTTTCTTGGCTTTTCTTGCCTATTTCTCTGTGCTTTTTGCTCTGCTGATATAACTTGGTGCCCTAAACCCATGGGCACGATGCACAGAGACCATGAAGAAGATCCTTACTTTCTCAACAAAGTGACCTCCTTTATGTTAAATCATCCTCACTGCACCCTATTTAAGCCTGTTACTGCTTCCCCAATCTCAGGGTATTGCTATTAGTTTAATGCTGATATTCTAATTGATTAGCCTAACACCATACTCTGAAAACACTTTACAATATAGATAGAACAACACGGTGCATAAATTCTAGAACATTCTCCACATTTTCGTCCCAACAATCTAACATAGGGTAACAAAACCCCTATTTATAACTACCATTATGGGAGCATCTGGCTCAACCACGGTCAGAATACAAAAAAGCAATCTCACCAGGTAGTTAGAAACAACACATGGCTCAGGTTTAAGGGGCAACTCTATGATCATCTATTTTCATCCCATATGTGTAAATGGACTTGAACACTGCTGCCTCAGGGCTCTATACACTGCTGTTTATAAATATTTACCTATCTACCAAACTGTAACAATAGTAATAGTATATAGTAATTTGTCTTTACTGGAGTTTTCAAATGTCAACAGCATAAGCCAACAAAAAAATCTAAAAGCCATGGTTTTTGTTGAACTTACCTGATCTGTCATCTGGGACAAACATGTTTCCACCTGAGGAGTCAAGCAGTAAGTGACAATCTGCTGTGAAAAAGTTAGGCTCAATCAGCTCTGGAGAACCTTGAAGTAGCTGGAAAAGTCAAACATGAATATAAATTTCTTTCCCAGATAAATATCATTTTAGATAGCTAGTGAGTTCTTGCAAAACTCTTCAGAAGCTAGTTACATCAGGACTGATAACTTACTCAGAATGAAGAACCACAACTGAGTTCAAAGCTTCCCTAGAAGACACAAACTAATTCTGCACACTCCTTATTACAATAATTTGCATTTTTTGCAAGAACGACCAGTATTTCTTAAATTGTATGTGGGGCCACTTGAGGAATGGAGATCACAAGGTATACAGCATGCAAACCTCCATGGAAGGAAAGACACCTGAAGCAGATGAGCCTTCCTCCCACCAGCTGCCAACACACAACTGGGTTGAATGCTCCCTAATGGAAGATCTTCATCAATTTATATTGCACTTGTGAGGGGGGGAATTGCTCTTCTGTTTGCTCAATCAAGCCAACCTGATTTGGGAAGCACTGTTGCTGTTTTTTTTAAATGACTTCTCATGTAGAGTTTTAGGAAGGATAAGAAACATCCTACTATATTCCTTTTCTAATGTCAGTATTGGATGAATGCATCAATTCATAGATTATACTCAGGAGCACATTGTATGCATACAATTGCATACAGGATTCTGACAGGTAAAACAGATTACTGGTGCTCATTTGGGCCCCACAAAGTAGAAAGTGAGGGGAGAGCTCAAGACGTCTGAGCTGGTAAGTGGAAAACTGATGGCATATCTTTTATATTTATTCTACAGCCCTTTTAATTCTGGAATTGTAATCCTAAATAAACATATAGTTTGGGCACCAACAAAGATAAAACAAACAGTATGATTGTGTTCCTGGGGGCACTGTGAGCTCTAAGCAAGGAAGGAGGAAATTATGCCAAGAAAAGCCTCGGAGACAATGGCTGGAACAAAACAGGCCACGTCTTTATTGATTACAGCAGAGCATTTGGCGCACCATAGGGTAGGATCTAAGAATCGTGACCCGACTGTCAGTCGATGATCTGCACCCCAGCCCGCATGTTGGGGAAAGCCAGGAGAGACAAGAAGATGGTTCCACAAAGGCACAAGCCCTTGTGTGGAACTCTTGCCACCTGGGAATGGTGTGAGGCAACCACCCCTGAGCTGGGCATGCTGCTAAATGACTCAACCTCCAAGACCCCATAAGAGGGTCCCCACTCCGGGAGGTGGGCACATAGGTGCAGCCTCGCCCAAAATGGATCATACCCAATGCCTAAAACCACCATAAAGCTGTGACAAAAAATAACATATGAATATAAAACATAAATAACCATACATTTAGAAAAAAGGGAGGGAGGGAAGGGAATATCTGAAGAGGTGAAAGCCCGACTGCCCAGCAGCAGGGCTTTAAGTAAGCCAGGGGCGGGGCCAGGGAGCACAAACGCTCATCCCAGCCCACCAATCAGGAGGAGCAGAAGAGCCAGTGATTGGCCGGCAACCAAGTAGACCGCCCCAGACACCCAAAGGCACAGGTCCACTGTGATCTGGCTGGAGCCTACCACAGTGGCCAGGTGGCCTTGTTCCTCTCCAGAGAGCCCCCAAGCCCTGCAGCCACAAAGCAGCCACTAGTAAGTCAGTGCCTGCGGATTATTTTTATGAGTTCTAGTCTACTTGTTCATGACAGCTTACAAAACAGTTAGCAAAATACAATTAAAACCAAATGTTAAATAATTAAAGTTAAAAATATATAGCATATAAATTTTAAATTTGTAATAAAGTAATCAGCATGAGCTACGTGGCAGACCACTGTGACATGTCTGTGAGAAGCAGGTGCTCCAGTACGTAAGACAGTTCCAATGAATGATCCTGAGCGGATGCAATGATAAGAAGTTCATTGACACAATCACTCCCATAAAATTAGCAGTTGTCTTTCCACAAGAGGGTACCATTAACACATCAGCTACAATGGTCAAACCCTAATTCTGAGATCTCCTCAACTTATGCTCCAGTTGTCCTCACCACTGCATTGCCTGCAACGACCAGAGCTTCTTAGCATACCAGGGAGCAGTATCGGCTTCCCTTATCTGGATGACCCAGGCTAACTCAATCTTGTCAGATCTCAGAAGCTAAGCAGGGCTGGCCCTACTTAATACTGAGATGGGAGACCATCAAGGAAGTCCACTATGCAGAGGCAGGCAATAGAAAACGGCCTTTGTCTCTTGCCTTGAAAATCCTATAGGGTGGCCATAATTCAGCTGTGACTTGGCAGCATTTTCCACCACCAGTATGGGCTTGGTCTAGTGGGACATGGCATCTAACAACAGTCATGTCAGCCACCCAGGTCATTTCCTCAGGACATTGTGAGGAATGCCAGTAACAACCTTGAAAAGCCCAGAGTAGACCATTTATATATTTATAGTTAGTTATAGCTGCGGTGGCTCAAGTGGTTAAGACGCTGAACTGCAGGCTGTGGAAGGTCAGTAATTCAGCAGCTTGAGACCTGGGTGTCGCATGACGGAGTGAGCTCCCGTCTCTAGTTCCAGCTCCTGCCAACCTAGCAGTTCGAAAGCAAGAAATTGCAAGTAGATAAATAGGTACTGCTTTGGTGGGAAGGTAACAGCGTTCCTTGCGCCTTGGTGTTTAGTCATGCCGGCCACATGACCACGGAAACGTCTTCGGGCAGCGCTGGCTCTTCAGCTTTGAAACGGAGATGAGCACCGCAACCCTAGAGTCGGATTCGACTGGCTTTCGAGCAAGGGAACCTTTACCTTTATAGACCTCCCAGAGTATACCAACCTAACCGGTTCTTTTAAGCTGGATGGAATGAGCAGCAATTGTATTTGTATTTTAAAAAGCTTATATACTTTCATTAAAAAATACCCTTGCATTCCAATGCGTAAGAACAGTGTAATTCTCCTTAAGGGAATAAATAAAATATTAGTAAGATCATTTTAAAGAATATCAAACTATTCAGAAATCACCATGTCTTGGAAATATGACAGCATGCTAAACAAAAAGCTGGAGTAAAATTTAAGACAGAAAATCTGTAAGGCATTTCTGGATGAGAGACACTTTAATAGAGGAGGAACTCTCTTTTTACCTATAGCACACTGCCTACGTGTTTTGTGCTGAACATAAAAGAAAACTTTCATCTAGTGCTAACTTCTTTACCCTTGTTTAAAAATATATAACGTTTGGTGTTGTGATTTTCACAAGGGCCTACAGATGGTAAATGAAATACTATTTGGCCTTAATGTGTGTTTGACACACATTGAAATCCATTGCCCTATGACAACAGGGGAGGAAAACTGTATCTCCAATACAACAATCTCCAGCAAACGGAACTCCTAATTGTAACCTTCAGGGTCTATATGCAGGCACTGGCCTGATTTTCATGACAGTGGAGTGTTCGGCAGGACCCATTGACATTTGTGCAATTTTAGCCATTTTGATCCCTCCAGGGTGCTCAGTCCTTTTGAAGTTGCTTAGAAAAGTGACAACTGTCAGAGCAGATGAAATAAGGGAGAAATTTCTAATCCTCAGAGTGACAGGTACTCATCCAAGCACTGGCTGGCCTCAGCCAGGTGAACAGGTTTCAGCAAATTTAAATTGGGAGAAGGTTTTCATATTATACACTATCAGCTTCAATTTACACTTCTGAGCTAAAGCCAGTGTTATCATTTTTAGTTACGGAATTAAAAGTTCACAACTGTGCTTTGAGCTGGCTTCAGTGGGGGGGGGGGGGGTGGAGTTAACCCAGCCAGGAAAGTGATGGAGGTGTACCTGTTCTATGTTATGGATCGCTTTGCTCTGAGAAACATCTATTCCTATTAGGCCTGCATAGTTACAATGTCTAGGTTGTTTCCATTAATTTTTAAACCAGATACCTCTAAACAAGAATGGGATTAATAATTAAAACAATGGCTGGAATACTAGCGCTCAGTGGGGTGGAGCCTGATTTAAAAGGGTGCGTGATTAGTGCTGATTACTCCCTCCCATGATATCCCTCCCGCCGCCCCCTTCAAGCTGCTTAGGGTGACCCCTGTGCCCCAGAAGCAGCATTTCCAGGGGCATTTCAAGCTTTAACAGGAGGAGGGAGGTAGGTGAGAAAGTCATGTGTCTGTGCACAGAAGTCCTTTCACACACAGAGACGCTTTAGACAGGATCCAACCCAGTGGATCATTGCACACCAACAATTAGCTAAGTCATTCCATCCCCCTGTTAAGGGCAAAACAAGTGACTTTTCTCAATGACTTCTGAGCCACTAATAACATTTGCTGAAACAGAGTGCACATTTTATATATGAAAATATTATGCCTCAAATAGCCTACCATTTCCTCCTATCAGATATTTTTCTCCCAGTAAATTCTAGTGAATTTTACAAATAAGTTCTTTTCAAATTATTGGTTAGGTAAAGCACTGTTCTGGGACAGTCTGTCCTGGCTGCTGACAAACCGTAAGCACACAAAGTTAGTTTCTCGATGTCAGGGTTGGTCAAAGTACAGCTCCGAGGTTCAGGCACAGGTTAGGCAGCACTCACAGCTTCAAGTCCAAGAGCACAGATTTTTTTAAGCAGATGAGATCCTTCATGAAGCTGGAAAGCAATGGCCTGAAAAAGGTTCTACAGGGCTATGCCAAGATTATCAAGCATCAAAATGTATTTGCATTCTTGTCAGTTGAAGAAAGGAGTTCATGTTTAGAAGTCAAAGCTCTCCACCTTTCAAATCCTGACTAGATCTCTTTTTTCATCGCCCTTTACATTCTTCCTTGTTCCTCTACAAGGTCATCTATTGTTACCCACAGCAGGCAGAGGCCTGCTTCTGTGAATGCTAAGATGAGGGGACCATTATTATTTCGAGAACAATCAGATAAGCATTAATTTTCTTCTGAAATGATTTACAACATAAAGCATTGCAATGGAAAAACCGGCTTTGGCTCCACGGGTCAGATCCAGTGAACTACAAAGGGAAAATGTTCCCAGAACGGATCTAATGCATCCTTCAGCCTCCTAAGGGCCCCGGAAGCTCTAAGGTGTTCCAGAACTAACAGAATAGAATGGGATGTAGTGTTGAGGGGAAGGGGCTGTGGCTTGGCAGAAATCACTCTCCTCTTGGGAGAGTAAAGGGAAGCTAGAACTTGCATAAGAACAGAGGAAGGCAATTTCTGCCAATTTCCCTCCTGCCTTTCCTGCTGCATCCCAGTCTCTTCCCTCAGGAGCAGCCTCGTCATTCATGGGGAAACAAGAGGCTCCAGAAGGAAAGAGGGAGTTTGGTTTCATTGATTCATTCCATTCACAGTTCATTGGAACCATTCCATTCTGTAAAACTATGAAAATTCAGTGCTGATTTGTTTTGGAATCCTTACTTTCCTAGGTAAGGATAACTTTGTGTTTTAATAGCAGCTGGCTGACCGTTCTGTTTCATGTGTATCCTGTAACTGAAGGACAGAAACAAAACCAACCAACAAACGTAGGTCCGCGCCCCCCCCCCATAAAGGCACATACTCAAATCTAGGCAAAAATCACTTCCAAAAAAAATCTCTCTTCAAGGCTTTGGGAAAGTTACTACCCAGTTCTGCGTGAATAAGACAGTAGCATATTTAAATATGGAACATCTTACTTGCAAAAATACTGCCCCAGATCCCCTGGGCCCTCATTTCAAATAACAGACAAAATCATGACCTGCCTGAAAACGATCGTCAGAATACTGCACCTTTTTAATTTCAGACTTCAAGTTACACGGATTGCTCTGTTGGTTGAAGAGGGACTTCTTGAATCTCTCAATGACTCTCCTTTTCAAGTTGCAATGCAAAGTTGGTGGAAGCTATTTGAGGGTGCAGAAACAGTTATCACAGCTCAGTCTGTGCTCTTGAAACAGGAAAAAGGTGTTGCAGAGAAATATGAATGCTTTAACTGCTGTTAGTGAGCAGAGCAGAGAACAAACAGCATGAAATGTTTCACTTTTAGAGAAAGACCATTCTCCATTTTACTAGAACCACTTCCACATGATCATCACTATTATTACTAGGCAGAAACAGTATACTACCACTACTTGAGGAGGGGCTGTGGCTCACTGGTAAAGCATCTATTTAGCATGCACAAGGTTCCAGGATCAATACTCAGCATCTCCAGTTAAAAAGGACTAGATTATAGGTGATGTGGAAGATCTCTATCTGAGACCCTGGAGAGTCATTGCCAGTCTGAGTAGACAATTACTGTCCTTGATGGACCAATGGTCTGATTCAGTATAAGGCAATTTCATGTGTTCATGTGCACTCTTACACTAAGAACTTGTATAATACATCACCCTATTTAAAGCACAGTTAATCCTGTAACAAACCTAGAAGGTGGCGTAACACCTCCATACTGAAGTTGGAGGGCTATTGAGGGCTATACAGTGGGTTGTCCATCATTATCTAGTGAGCTCACACAGCAGAGACAAAATTCAAAAGTAAACACTGGAGAGCCAGTGTGGTGTAGTGGTTAGTGTCTGACTAGAATCTGGGAGACCTATGTTTGAATCCCCAATCTGCCATGAAAGCTCTTTGGATGACCTTGGGCCAGTCGCACACTCAGCCTAATCTACCTCACAGGGTTATTGTGAACATAAAATGGAGAAAAGAAAAACAACATAAGCTGCTTTGGCTCCTGTGGCAAAGCAGATTTCTTTTTGGGTTTTTTTGACTGATGGAACAGAAAGGCTTTTAAACTTCTATCTGTTTTTGACAGGAACAGCACTCAAACCTTTATAACACAACACAGATAGTCTTCCCCTTTTTAAACTGGTATTGACAAGAACAGCACCCTACCTATCTTCAAAACACCTAAACTCCCTAATGGGATTCCCTGCCTGACAAACAGACCTCTTAGCCCTTTCTGACACCAAAATCTAACCCTCAAGCCTTGTCAATTTGCCAGCAGTTAAACTGCCTAACATCTTCTTCCTTTCAACATTCCAATCCACCCTTTCAGAGTGATTAGCTGAGTCTTCTGGACTGTCTGTCACAGCTCCCCTTTGGGGAGGAAGCAGGGATATAAGTAAACTAAATTTAACCCCCCACACACATTTTATTTTATTGTATTTTTACTCCATCCTTCCTCCAAAGAGCTCAGAGAAACACACACAGATCTCCCCTCTGCCAAATTATCCTTGCAACGACTCTGAGGTAGGCTAGGTTGACAGAATGTCTGGACCAAGATCACTCAAGTCAGCCTTCTCTTCACCCCTTAGTCTGCTCCCCACCCTACATTCATGGAACAGCATTTCCCCTGAGGCCTCAGCACCCAGCCCTTCTCCACTACCTGACTTTGGACTGTGAAGTTTTTGGGATGGGGCACTATTTTTTTTTTGTTTGTGTGCTGGTATGTTACCATATAAAGCATCATATACAGTAAGGGTGCTTTTTCAAGAATTTTAAGAAGCTGCGGGTTTATTTCTTAAATGATGAAAAATTACTGCAGATTTCTAAGAGCCTTATTGGGAGAGACAACCCTTGCAGAACAGACTCGATGTCTTCCAAAAATACTCTTGCTTCAGCAAAGGAATATGAAGGCAGAACAGAACCACATGCTTCAACATTAACCTGTTTTCACTCTTAGCTATTTTTAAGAGACTCTTTTGGTTTTTAAACAGATCCAGGTGGTCAGCCGTGTTGGTCTGAAGCAGTAGAACAAATTTAGAGCCCAGTGGCACCTTTAAGACCAACAAAGGTTTATTCAAGGCATGAGCTTTTGTGTGCAAGGCACACTTTGTCAAATACATCGGAATGGTAGATGAGGTTCTAAACTTATAGACAGGGACTTAACAGCAAATTAACATGTAACATGATGACGTTTAAGATATGCAAAGTCAGAACTTAAATAACAAGCTAAGGTTATAAGGTCAACAGTTGTAAAGCAATAACTATGTCAAAATAGCAGATAAATGTCTAAAGGTGTCTTTTCTAATTGTGGGAAGCAAACTAAGAATCTCCATTCTCTCCTCCCGGGCATGGAGATCACTTAACAGCACTTTTTGAGGTGGATGCAGTGTCATGTCAGCAAAACATCCCTGTATTCCTTGCATTATAGCAGATAAATGTCTAAAGGCGCCTTTTCTAATTGTGGGAAGCAAGGAATATTGGGATGTTTTGCTGACATGTTTTGCTGGCATGCACACGAAAGCTCATACCTTGAATAAACCTTTGCTGGTCTTAAAGGTGCCACTGGACTCTAAATTGGTTTTTAAACAAGCATTCATTAGGTCAGCAGCCTCAGCTATTAAGTCTTTCTAGACAGGTCCTTATAGCAATTTATACACATGGGTTTATCTCAGTTTTGGTATCATTTTAGAAGAAATGCTTTTTGAGCTAATTTATGTGTTACATGGCATCAAACACATTTTCCACCGTAACAGAATGGATGGGGAGATAGAAGCAATCCCAGCTCCCTGGCAACATATATCCCTGTCATACAAATGGCTAGAAACCATGACTGTCACATGCACAATGTAAAAACATGTGTGTTACTTGTGCATGTCAAGTATTTTATGGATACACTGAACAGCCTAACATGTGAAGCAACCTTAACAGCGCAACCCTAGGCTCAGTTACACCCTTCTAAGTTCATAGAAAATTAGCTGGCTTAGAAGAATGTATCTGTGGTTCCAGCCAGCACTTTCAATCTGCACTAGACAACTTCTAGTCAGGATCTGGCCTTCAGCATCAAAACCAAAGCCTCACTTTTGTCAGGGTGTAACCTTGAAAAGTCTGAATAGATAAATACAATGTTCAGCAGCTGAGAAAAAAAAGTTTAAATTTGCTACTGGGACAGCTGCAGGGAGTTCCGCACATCAGAAATTATTTTATTAATTTACTAGATCCTTGTTACAGTCCTGCTCATAGTTCTCCTTCCTTCCCACATTTTTAGCTTAACAGCAGAAACATTAGAGAGTGATCGGCCCAAAGTCAAGCTGCAAGCTGCATGGAAGAGCAGGGATCTCCCCAGTCCTAGGCTGACATTAACCAATATGCCACGGGCTGCTGGAAAAGAGTTTGCAGCTACGTCACTCCTAGCATCTCTTTTCCCAAAAAGTAAGCGCTGACCACATCTCAACTGCCGACTTGCAGTATTTGACAAGGAGCTCATACTGCTACACTTGATGACCTACCTTTTGACAATTTCCCCTTTCGGGTGGGGAAATAAGTTGCCCGAACACACTGGGGGGGGGGCCCTTGGGCGCAAAGAAGAGTTGTCTTAGGGCCAGTCGCCTGGAAAAGAAATTAAGCAAAGCCCTCTGTGTTAGTTGCTTCTCATCCTTGCTTCAGTTTGCAAAGACTCAGATGTCAGATGAGTGGAAATAAGGTAAGGGGTTTACATAATCGTTTTTTAAAAGCTTACATGATTCCCCCCCCTCGGATCCGAATGAAACCTGTTGCCATGGCAACTGAATGGGGAAAGGCTGCTGGTAGCCAAGATCTAACAATGAGAACTCTCCCCTTATGAACTTCAGCTTCTGCTTGTTAGAGACGATCTGCAACTGATAGCTTTAAATAAACATCCTACATGTCTAAAGTGTCCCATCATGTCAGCAGAGACTACAGAAAGAAAGGGAAGCATGTAATACCTCAGGGGACTGGTCAGTGAGCTTCAGTACTTCTCTGTTAGTATTTTAAAGCCAGACAAGAATGAAAGTGTGAAAGACTTCTTGATCCACTGGGATATTTGTCATATCCACTGGGATATTTATGCCTACTTTATTCTATGGGGTAGAGGTAGGACCACAAAAGGCTTGGTAGCTGGCTAGCAGATAATACACAGAAGTCCCCTGCCCAAATATTTTACCGCCACCAAAAATATTAGGTCCCATGAGCAGAAAAATCAGGAAATCCAAGTGTATTTCACATGGTTTCTCATCATGGATCATGTTTCAACCTCAACAGCACACGTGGTAAATGTGCAATTTGATATTACAAGCAGAGATATGTGAACGCTTGCAGATGCTTTTGCTTTAAAAAAAGATTTCCCCCCCTCTTTCCTCTTCACAATATCACACATTTAGACCTTTTCCCAATAACACATTTTAGTTTCTCCCCTGCCCCTGGGCCCCTGGCCAAGGCATAAGCAACTTCAACGCTAATTGGGCACAAGGGAAATCTGAATCCCCTAGCTTATTTGCTTTCTCCCTGAAAATGCCAGCAATCTGTACCCAAGTCACATATGATCACTGATAAATTTCAAGTGAGTAAAGGAGCTGGTGTTCAACAGCCTGGGCAAGGGACAACTGCTACCTCTCTTTTCTATCAGAACTAGGAAGAAACAGGGAAGGCGTGATGTTTTCTATAGCACTTTCCTATCCTGTGGGAGAGAAGGGAAGAATCTGCAACTCCATATGGAGAATTAAACAGATGCAAAAGTGCATTGGGTCGGTCTAAACAGTTATAAATTGTCCCTGCAGATTTCAAAGGGGAAGGCAGCATGGCACAGCCTGGCCTTGTCAGATCCCAGAGGCTAAGCAGGGTCAGGACTTGGATGGGCCTCTGCTGCTCACTTGCCTTGAAAGCCCCTTGCTGGGTAGCCAGAAGTCAGTTGTGACTGGACTGCACTTATGTATGTAGATTCAAAGGCTGCTTTAACGATGGACATTACAGTCACATCAGTAGCACATAACATTCTGCCCATTTTGCAGAGCAGAGGAAAGGCACTGTCTGTCTCTCTCTTTCTGTGTGATCCCAGCTCTACTGGGAAGAAGCAGAAGCCAAAATACTAACCCAGCATAATTTGCAAATTTGCTGTTCCTCTCTGACCAGACATATCCAGTTAATTAACATATCCAATAAATACTGGCATTAGTAAAAATAATATTTTTTATCTTCTTTGGCCCATATAATGTGCTAAACATCATTAGTGCAAACAGGAATATTAGCCATTTAAAATGGAAGAGGTTAACAAGTGCTATCCTTATGTCAGAAAAACGTACAACCAGGTCTGAATTTTCATTTTAAAATTTGAACAGGTTGTCTAGGCAAACTGAATTCTCCCTTGACAATAAATACCTCTTACCAGATGCTACCTTGGAATCTGAATGTTAATGGGGTGTTTCATAAAATATTAATTCCTAATGAGTAATTTTCAACAATCGTGAAATGAGCGCCTCATTGGTAAGAATCAATGCCTACCAGTCAAAACTATTTCACAGAATGACAAATATCTATATTAATTTCATATAGAGCTATAGTGTATATTGGAAGAAATGTTGGTTTAGAGGAGAGTTGACTTGGAAATGTGGTACAAAAATCTGCACTTGTACTGGGCCGTAGAGGAAACAGATTTTTTTTAATCCCTGCAGTAGAAAATTCACATGGAAATACGGAACCTTGCCTCTTCAACATCTCTGTGTCAAGTCCCATTTCTAAGCCTTTTTGGAAATATTCTAAAACATTCCCAATGAACCTTAAAAAGAAGCCACCCCATGAATCTAGCTAGGGAGGACTCCTTGAGGACATCAAGAGCTTCATCAGAATAACTTATTGGCAAATGGCTCCATTCATGATCAAGGCAATTAAACTGTGAGTTGCAGTTTCTTCATATAAATGATATGAGATTTGGCTGCTTTATAATTGGAATAGAATCAGTGAAATTAATAATCAGGGCTGTTGATTATAGGATTAAGCAACTTGTAGTAAAGGTCACCATTTATTAACTGAGTTTGCCAGCACAGTCTCTTGTCTGCCTAGAAAGTATTTTACCCATTCAGAAGAGGGACGCTGACTGAACTTGATGAAATGGATAAATAGTTTAGATACAAAGAAGGGAAGTAAGAAATCTTGCAACACAGTATGTGATAAGGTTACCCTAGCAACAAAGAGGTCAAGAACAAAAGAAACATTATGAATAATGAATAACAGGATGACCATAAGGGTGTAGAGAAATCGCCAGAGATAACAAGCGAATGTTAAGAAATGGTGTGAAGTAAGAATTGTGGTTAGGAATTGGGTTGAAGTACCAGTAAATGAAGAAGCATGTTCTGGGTTAAGAGTATGCCAATTAATCTGAATGTTTCATCGCTGGCACTTACTCAACACTGCCCAACATGCTTAAGAATAAACCTATATCCTGCCTCTATAAAATCAGCTATAATAGATACATATAGAATTTGTTTCTGATTATTTCTGTTGCTGACATGATGCTTTGGTTATTCTATCATTCAAGCATGACTTCATTCAGGGTTCCATACATCAGTGCCAGCTGCGCTAAATGTCTCATGTCTGAAAGGGAGAAGTATAATCCCAGATACCTGGGGATCTTACACATGTAGACTTTATATATTTGCTTGGCAAATGCTTGTGGAACTTTACCTGGGCTGCCAGAAAGTGTGCAGCTGTTCTCAGGAATCTGGGATGCTGAAAAAGCTTGGCCCTTGAGCATGGACATCAGTTATGACTAGAAATTTCCTGTCAGTGCTCTTGTCAGTTCAGTGCTAGTGTTATGTTACTAACCTAGGCTAGATAGAGCAATCAAAATCACACATGCACCCTGTTGTCTGTTTTTCCTAACCACTTGAAATTAGATGGTTTGAAGAATCATTCCTTAGGTCGAGCCACACCTTTCTCAAGGCACTATTAACTTTAGCTTTTTTTGTAGATGAACGTCTTGCCATGATTTGTGAGCCTGCAATACTATGGACAGGTGAACAGATTCAGCTCTGGATATCTGAAAATCTTGATGGTCTACGTGAATATCTCAGATTTTGGCTCTATTCTACCAGAACTGTACACGAGGCTGTGATATTTTTTGCCCTTGAATATATTTTAAAACATGAAACTCTGTTATATGTATTCCTCTTGAACTCAGTCCGAGATGGTATTCAAGCTGACCCTCATTATTTTAACAAAATGTCGGTTCCCCTTCTTAGGACAAAATCAGCAAAGACTTCAAAAGAACCCATGAATCATTTCATCCCATGAGGAAAAAATCTTAACTGATAGATTCATTGCTCAAATCATTCTATGTTCAACTTCTGCAAAGCTGGAAGACATCCTAGATTTGCTCTGAACATATGGATCATTATTTTGAAACTTTTAAGATTCTAAATGGGAAATCAGGAGGATTCCAATATAAAAAACAGTAAAATGTTAAATATGTTGTCGAAGGCTTTCATGGCCGGAGTTCATTAGTTGATGTAGATTTTTCAGGTTGGCCAAGTCTGCAGTCTCTTTCATGAAAGAACATGAAAGAACACGAAAGAGACTGCAGACTTGGCCAACCTGAAAAATCAACAGTGGCTGAACATAGCCTAACTCAAACAGGACACAGTATTTTGTTCCAAGTCACTGAAAGTCTGGACAACACTTCAAATTACCATGTCAGATTACACAGGGAAGCCATTGAAATTCATAAACATAAACACAATTTCAACAGGAAAGAAGAGAGTTTAAAAATAAATAGGGCATGGTTTCCTGTCCTGAAAAACACAAAAGGCTCTACATCTGACAATTGCACTACAGATAAGATTAAAATTTCAACAGCCAAACCACATACAAAAGAACCTCCTCAGGAAACAGGAAAGCTCCTCAATTAGCATGTTCATAGGCTGGGGAACTCAGCCCTACCCCACCTTCTGGAGTAGATATAAATTACCTGCCTACCATTTTTCTTCTCACCTTGACACAGAGAGTACTCCTTCTTTCTGTTATACCTCTGAGGATGCCAGTCACAGCTACTGGCGAAACATCAGGTTCTACAATGCCAAGACCACGGCCACACAACTTGGAAAATCTACAGCAACTAGTTAAATGTTACTTTTTGTTTCTTTTGATAAACCTGAAATTACGGTTTCCAAAACAAAACTACCTTTTAACAGTCGGCCACATGACCACGGAAACGTCTTCGGACAGCGCTGGCTCTTCGGCTTTGAAACGGAGATGAGCACCGTAACCCTAGAGTCGGATTCGACTGGCTTTCGAGCAAGGGAACCTTTACCTTTACCTTTACTAGTCCATAGCCACCCTTTTTAAGCACTGGAGATATGTTACAAGGAAATATAGGAAATATATGCTGAAGCTTGAATCACTGCAGCTGTGAGATGAAAGACCTACAGCAGTTTTGACAGTTTCTGGATCTTAACGTGTAAATGTAACATGCAGTTCTACAGGGGCAAAATTATATTAAATAGACGAACAAAATCTGTATTTTGGAGCACATACCTATTTTGATATTGTATTTTATGAAGCAGTTAGGGCCTAGCTGTTAGGAGGAGGGAAGAGGTTCTGTTGTGTAGCCAGAACAATGGCAACTTGCGGAGCAGGAAAATAAGCGCTGGAAAACCATACCTGGGTGATGTAGATAATCTTGTGCAGCTGAATTAAAATCTGTTGAATTGGATCACTGATTTGACGCACCTTCCGTTGTGACACAGCGATGCCTGCAGATGCTGAAGTTGATAATGTCACAATCAGCCGGGAGAACCAATTTTGTTTTCGGTACAGCTCATAAATGCCAACAGAGGTGAGGGGAAAGAGGACAGCACCTGGACGTTGCAACTGTCAGTAGATTTAGTGCTTCCTCCCTTCCTTATGTAAACAAATACTTAAAAGATAAAATCAAGAATTCAAAAAAAATAATGTCTTCCCACATTTCTTCTCAATAGCAATAGCAATATATCTAATTCTCAACATTGCCAAATCTGTAGCTGCTTAAAGCCAAAAACTGGAGCCATGAACAGACAAGACAGATCTTTCTATGAAAAATGTTTCACATTTGCAAAGAAATCTAAAATCTAAAGAAAACAAAAACAAAACCGGAGGGGGGGGTTAACCCCACAAAAATAGAAACAACCGCTATAGCTTTAAGAAATGAATGCCCTCAGTGGTCATTGCTAGGCCACTACACAGTATTGCCAACCTTGGCTTTTGTCAGTGGAAGGCAGGGGGAGGGAACAGACACTTTCCAGGGTTGTTTTGGCTTTTAAAAGAGGACTCATCAGGGACAGGCCCAGCTAGAACTACCAGGCAGCTAGATATTTGGCAACTTGCAGGTCTTACCCAGGCCTGGCCGCTTGCTACTGTTTAACAGTACTATTTACTTGGCTAGAGTTTCAGACTAGGATCTGGAAGACCCAATTTTGAATTCTCAGTCTGCCATGGAAACTCAATGGGTGACTGTGGGCCTGTTACGCATTCTCAGCCTAATCTCACAGGGTTGTGGTGAGTATAAAATGAAGGAGAGGAGAATGTTGTAAGCTGATTTGGGACAGTTTTCCACTGTGGAAAAAGGTGGGGTACAAATGAAGTAAATAAGTAATAAATATAGCTGATAAGTAAATAAGTAATAAATATAGCTGATAATGAGGAGCTGCGGTGGCTCAAGTGGTTAAGACGCTGAACTGCAGGCTGTGGAAGGTCAGTAGTTCAGCAGTTCGAGACCCGGGTGCCGCATGACGGAGTGAGCTCCCGTCTCTAGTTCCAGCTCCTGCCAACCTAGCAGTTCAAAAGCAAGAAATTGCAAGTAGATAAATAGGTACCACTTCGGTGGGAAGGTAACAGCGTTCCGTGCGCCTTGGTGTTTAGTCATGCCGGCCACATGACCACGGAAACGTCTTCGGACAGCGCTGGTTCTTCGGCTTTGAAACGGAGATGAGCACCGCAACCCTAGTCGGACTTGACTGGCTTTTGAGCAAGGGAACCTTTACCTTTACCTTTTTATAGCTGATAATATTTTTTTTTTTTTGGGGGGGGGGGTTAGTTCAATGAATCTGTTCTACCTCAATAAAAGTCCCCGCATACTAATTCCCTTAGCTTAAACAATAAGTACAGAATCAGAGGATGAACTCTATTGTGTTTATGCACATGTATCAAGTTAATATTATTTCACTTTTAGCCACTGATACTTAAAATTTAGACCCTGTCAGGAGATTGCCAGTTCCATTCCTGGATGAATAAATTGTTTAATCTGCTTTATTTATTTAGAAAAAACAATTATGCAGCCTCTCCAAGGGAACCTGCCCTAGGTAGTTTTCAAAATAAAGTATAATAAACCTAGCAAGAACATAAAAATAAATAAATCACTGAGCAGCTTAAAATGAATTCAGGCTAAAAGCACACTATTAAAATGGTATTAAAAGATCAACCCCTTCATTAAAAGCCTGGAAAACATTTTGGCCTGGCACATAAAAGACAGTAGTGTAGGCACCAGGCAAGCCTCACGGGAAAAGGCATTCCACAGGCAAAATGCCACTGAGGAAAAAGACTAGTCTCTGGTTGCCATCTGCTTCAACTCTGAAGACAAATGTACAGAGTGCACATCTTGTGGAAAAGACCTTAACTAGCAGGCTAGGCAGCATGGGAGGGGGTGGTCCTTCAAGCACCCTGGTCCCTTGGGCAATAAATGTAAGCACAGGCACTCTGAATTGTTCACTGAAACAAAGGGCAGCCATTACAGACCTTTCAGCACTGTGGTGACACCATCCCTATATCATACCCATAAAAGCGGCCTGGCTGTGGCACTCTGAACTAGCTTTCCAGCCATTCTCAAAGGGAGCCCTAGGCAAAGCACATTATAGTAATTGAACCTGGATTACAGCCTGGTTCACTGTGGCCAGAAAGTAAGACTAGCATGATAACGATACCAACAGGGTTAAAAGTGATAGCAGAATCTTTAGTGAAAACAATCCTCTTTTGAAGTAAAGCTAATATTTATAACTTTTAAAGATTTATTTTAATTATACGTTAGTCATATTAATAACTAGCACCGTTATATTAATAACTATAATAAAACTAATTTAGTTATATTATTTTCAGTTGTATAGATATTAGTTATATTCCAGGCATGATTTTATTAAATGTCTTTTTATCATAATACATTTATATTAAGAAAAAGGGGGAACGCAGATGTATGAACGCTTGAATTATTCTTAGAGAGAAAAACTGAAATTCCAATTTCTTCAGTACATACACCCCAATCTAGCAACCTGAGCAGGTGTTCTGACACCCGCACCGCAGTGCGCATGGGCTCTGAGAATTCTCTATAAAAGAAAATGAGGTGTGGGGGCTCAGAAAGAATTATCTCCCTCTCTCAGCTGACCTGTGGATTTCCCCCAGCAGTACTGAGGAACACACAAAAGCTGTCAGAAGACAACAGGAATATTGATCAGGTCTATAAAATATCGAACTGCAATAAATAATGAAGAGGCCTGCAGGTATCCTGAGAAAAACACAGCTATCAAAGAGAAGGTAAGCATGTTGTCTCTGTTCAAGTAGAGGTATTATACTAATGACACCTGCAGTGTTATTAAGGATCAAAGCTAAAATGATCCCTGGGGCTTAGCATAGCTACAACACTCAGCTGATCCAAAGATTTTTTTTTCCTTTTTGGAAAATATGGAAAGATATGATTGCTAATACTAGTACATTTTTTTAAACCCTGAAAATTCCTTTCAGTCTTTCTGAAACAAAATTCTTTTGTAGATAATAGGGGTGTGTATTCGATTTATCCAAGCTGAACACCCCCCCCCCAAAAAAAAAACCTTACTGGTATTTTTCAGGTATTTTTTAAGCCGGATAGCTGCTGGGATATTTATATAGTTATCTAATACACCTGAGCCTGAAAAATCCTGAAAATATTCAGGATTTTTTAGGGCTGCTGAATAGCTGACGTTAAAGGGTGTTTAAAGGGACTGCAGTCCATTTCAACACCTTCTGGGTGAAGCCACAGCTTGGAGAAGGCATTTAAAGGGACTGTGAGCCCTTTAAATGCCTTCAGAGTTCAGCCACGGCTTGCAAAAGGCATTTAAAAGGACCATATTCCCTTTAAATGCTCTCCCCCCCTATTAGAAACAATGGATGATGGGGGCACATACTTCTAGGTCATACAGAATTGGACTCCCTAGTCTAAATCTTTTTGAAACTTGGGGGGGGGGGTTGAGGAGAGGGACCAGCAGCTATGCTGCAAATTAGGGGTCTCTACCCCCCACAATAGACCTAGGTGTCTCTACCCCCCCAAATAGACCTGACAGAGCCCCAGATTGATTCTCCATTATACCCTATGGGGACCATTAACTATAATGGTCCCCATGGGATATAATGGAGCCAAAACCCCCCAGCAATCCTGAATATTTACCAAATCCAAATACCATAGTGGCATTGGGATCTGGGAATATTGGAGAATTCCGATATTTTGGGGGTTCAATGTACCTGATCCTGAAAAATATATATTTTTTTGCACACCCCTAGTTGCTAGCCTAATCTCCTTCATGATTTCTTTCAGTAAGGTTTCTGATAAAGTTCCAAGCAGATGCAAGTTTTATGTCCTCTGTATTTTAGTGTATTTTTCAGAATATTATATTAGAATACTGAATGTAATGCAAGGAATATTGGAATGTTTTGCTGATAGAACACTGCACCTACCTCAAAGGAAAAAAAATCCTATTAAATTACCTCCATGCCTGAGAGGAGATGAATGGAGAGTCTCATTTTACTTCCCACGATTAGAAAAGATACCTTTACATGTTTATCTCCTATTTTGACATCTTTATTGCTTTACTGTTTTTTCTCCCTAATTAAATCAAAATAACCGTTGACCTTATAACCTTAGCTTGTTATTTAGTTTTGTCTTTGCATATCTTAAAACACCTCCATGTTATATGTTAATTTGCTGTTCAATTACTGTCTATAAGTTTGAACTCTGACCTTCCATTCCAATATATTAGAAAAACTGTGCATGCACACAAAAGCTCATACCTTAAATAAACCTTTGTTGGTCTTAAAGGTGCCACTGGACTCTAAACTTGTTCTGTAACATTTAATTTGCTTACCCAACCAAAGCATTAATGGCTCAGCCATTCAGCAAAAGACACGTGCACAGATTACACATAGCGAAGAACTGAAAAGTTAACTGTATGTATGTGGCCACCTCTTGAATTAAAAGTCACCATAACGCAGCTTTGTTCGAGAGAAAAAATATTAATTGAAGCTCTAAGAACCAATAGAGGGGGGGAAACCCAGAGAATAGCCAGTTCAACTTGTGAATCTTTAAGTAAGCATTAACCTCCATGTTATATGTTAATTTGCTGTTCAATTACTGTCTATAAGTTTGAACTCTGACCTTCCATTCCAATATATTAGAAAAACTGTGCATGCACACAAAAGCTCATACCTTAAATAAACCTTTGTTGGTCTTAAAGGTGCCACTGGACTCTAAACTTATTCTGTAACATTTAATTTGCTTACCCAACCAAAGTACTAATGGCTCAGCCATTCAGCAAAAGACACGTGCACAGATTACACATAGCGAAGAACTGAAAAGTTAACTGTATGTATGTGGCCACCTCTTGAATTAAAAGTCACCATAACGCAGCTTTGTTCGAGAGAAAAAATATTAATTGAAGCTCTAAGAACCAATAGAGGGGGGGGAACCCAGTTCAATAGCCAGTTCAACCTGTGAATCTTTAAGTAAGCATTAAACAAAAAACAGTATTAACATTCATTCATAAAACTAAGTATACCAGTTTACAAAAAGGGTCAGAACCATCTAATTACAAGATAGGTTCTTTTACTTATACCATATGTTTTAGGGTATCTCCAGGTGCCTCAGTCTGTTAATTTTTTAACAGAAGCGCATCAAACTTGGAAAGCAGTTATGAGATGGGCATTTGTCACCATAATTTTTCCAGGAAAGGCTTGGGAAGAAAATACATCATACTTCTTGTACCTCAGTGGTTCACAAATGCATATTAGCTCAAGTCTCATGTAACATGAGGAAGATGATCCACCAACATACCACCAACATATCTGAGATTAGCAACACAGTCCTGAATACTAACTTTCATGCTTATTTTGTGCTATGAGCTGGAACTCAAAATTATCTACCACAAAACAAAGTTTGAGTCCAGTGGCACCTTTAAGAACAAAAAAGTTTTATATAAGCTTTCATGTGTATGCACACTTCCTCAGATACAGTGAAATGGGAATTACCACTCCCACCCAGAAGGGCCATACGTCCTCTTTATTTATTTATTTTTATTTGGAATAACAGATTAGAATAGTAGGTCGTAATGTAATGTAATGAATAACAGAATGTAATGTAATTGGGAATAGTAGATTGAAATGTATTTCTCTGGTCTGGGGATAACTCTACACAGCCAATTGCCCCACTTCAAAGACGAAGAGGCTGTAAGGTTGCCTCCATGCTTGAGAGGAGACAGGTGGAGTTTAATGGCAGGGTCTCAGTTAATTACTCTCAGCATTCCACAGTTAAGGATACACCTGCTCATCAATCTCCAATTTTGACATATTTATTTCCTTTACTATGTTCCCCCCCCAAATTAAACTCAAACAAATGGTAACCACATAAACTAAGCTTGTTATTCCTGTTTGGTCCTTGCACCTGTGAAACATCTTCCTTATGTTGTCTGCTAATTTACTGCTCTCACCCTGTACCTATGTGTTTGGACTGGTAATTTCTGTTTCATTGTATCTGAGGAAGTGTGCATGCATACGAAAGTTTATACCTTGAGTAAAACTTTGTTGGTCTTAAAGGTGCCACTGGACTCAAACTTTGTTCTACTGATTCAGACCAACATGCCTACCCACCTGAATCTATGCTCATACCACACTTAGACTAAGATGCATGAAAACCTGTCAAGCTAGAAACAAGCACCTGGTAGACGCCAATCCAAAGGCTCATCTTTCTTGACACTAGCAAAAGTCTTGGCTCATTGCTCACTCTCTGTAGGAGCTTTGGGACCTAATACAGGAGTGGCTTGGTGGTGGTGAGCAACCTGGGTGGCAGGCTTTCTCCCCACCCCCAGTGCCTGCTAAGTGCAGGATGGGCCTGCTATCCCTGGACATATTTCTCCTTGTGAGGTTAGAAACCTGACTTATGCATGCGCTGGAAATAAGTGCTGGATGACTATCGGAATTTTTCTGGTTAACTGAAGGAGGATTTGCATTGCCATCTATGACAGATGCCAGTTTACAAAGTTGACTGGATAGCAAAGTGCTGGATCAAGCAAGTGTTATATTATATTGTAATCATACCTTAGGGTTATTCATTTGAGCAAAAATTTTGATTAGAGACCTAAAGAACTTTTCGTTATGTATATAAGAGACCTAAAGAACTTTTCGTTATGTATATTTTTTCTTAAAAAAAACTATACTATTTCTAAGTCAGCTACAATTCTTGGTTCTCTAGTAACTGGTTTGACTGCATAACAATACTATTAAGTACTACCATGATCTTTCAGATTGCGAAGAATCACAGCTGGAAGGCTATGGGATTTCCACCCTGTCACTAACGAGTCCTCTATTTTCTTAACGTGGCCCCTGAACATGAGCGAAGGTGCTTTCAGAAGCAGATCAAAGGGCAGCAAAGCTGAAGAAATAAAAGGAGAAACTGAATATGAAACTATTTTTAAAAAGCTTTAAAACAAGGTTAAATGGCAAGATATATTCCCATTCACATATAGTTGCAGATGTGAAATTACCTGGTCTTGGCCTGGTTCCTGAAATTCCGATATAATCTCTGTAAAAGAAAGAATATTGATAAGAAAGCTAATTCTAAATGAGACTGATAACTGTTGTGCATGTAGGTCAGCCCACCAGCTGTTGCTATAAATTTGAAAACAGGAACATTTCACTGCACAAATGGCCTTAGCTTCTGCTGCAGATGCAAAGGAAGAACCCTTCTTCCAGGCATTTTTAGGTACTATATGAAATTCTGACTTGCACAAAAGGGGGAAAGGAATGAAATACACCAGAAAGCACATGCTGTCTTTTTGTTAGATAAACTTAACCTACTGAGGCTGTACACCTGATTCCAACAGGGCTTAGAAAATGTACTGATCATGAAACCTAGTATCCTACAAGCCAGGAAGATTGAAATACCTCGATTTCATCATGATGCAGACAGTTTACAAAAGGATTCTACCCCACACATGCTACTTTGATATATAATGCAGGAGACTCCCAAATGGAAATACATGACTCCCTACAGCATAAGCATATGGGAAAAAATAAGCGTTTTCCAAACATAATGTTCCAAGCGTTCCTTGGTGTAATTCCCCATTCACTTTTCTACTACTGCTTCCTATTGAGAATCGTGGGCCCCGGTCACACGAAAGGTTTTGGGCCGGGAGAGGGACGGATCGGGGGCGGAGCAAATGGGTGCGATCCCACCGCAACATCTGGGAAACATTGCGCACCTGTCCCCGATCCGGCCCTTCAGGCCGAAAAGCCTCATATAAAATAAACCACCTACAGAGGTGGACTTACCAGCACGGCCGCATCAAGTGAGGCTGTGGGATCGCCGGCGCGTCCTTCTGCCGGTGCATCCAAGACCCCTGACCGAACTGCGCATGCTCACACATGCGCAGTTCGGCAGCCTCCGTCTCGTAGCTTTCTCCCCGGTCTCCCTGGCATCTGATCATGCCGGGGAGCAACTGCACGGCGGCTGACGGGATCTGTATGATCCCGCCACCGCGTGTCTATTTTGGTGCGGCTTTCAAAAGCGGCACTTTGCCCGCCCCCCCCCCCCCGGTGTGGCAGGGACCATAATCAATCAAAAACATACATATTAAATTTCATATAGTTTAATAGCAAAAATGAGAGTTTAGACTAGGCTGTTTTTTAAAAAGACAACACAACCCCAAAGGTAAATTTGGCCAGGAAGCATATTATGAAGGCTTTTTAAAAAGATTGTACATGCTCCTCAGGATTTGAGAGCTGCCCAGGCAGCCTCATGTGATGTTTGAGTGCCAGTTGCAATTCAGAAATCTTGATTAGTATTCCATAATTTTGCATATTTTAAAAATAGTGATGTACTGTGCAGTGGCAGTGTAGCCAAGAATGTATAAGTAGACGAATGTATAACATCTTAAATTTCAGATCTCATACTTGCCTTGCCTGAGGTTGCCTTTCAGAAGCACTGAAGCTTCGTTTTATGATACCTGAAATAAAAGCACAATAGGTATAATTCTTTGTGTTGAAAATATTGGAAAATTCTATCTCCCAGCATTCTTGCCCTGTCATAGCAACTTTTAAAAGATTCTGGTAATAAGACAGCTCTGAATATAAAATGTATGAAGACGTGAGCAGCAGTACCGAATGATTCACTGATGCTAAATATCATATTTTAATCTGAATGGCACAATGGATGAGCATTCTACTAGCCTGCTGTAACATCTTAGTGCAAAGCTACCAGATTAATTACTCTTAACTGCATTTTTAACCCCACTCTTCAGCCTTCAAGGCTGAATTTCAAAAATAATTTTTAAAATAATAATACAAAGTATGTAAGCATGCAGACCCCCCCCCCAATCTTTCAGGAGGGGTCATTTCTACCAGCAATGTACCCAAGGAGTCTATATATACCAGGCATCTTGACATAAGTGGACACAAAGATGGACATCAGAACTGGCAGGCCCTATAAATCATGCCGAGGCAGCAACCCTGGGAAACACATGAGATCTTGTTCTGACAACTGTGACTCCCCTCCACCCTGCCGACATCTGCATACTCCGGACAATGGACTTACCTCATTCCAGAGCTACTTGTTTTCAACAGCAATCACTAATTCTATCAATCTCGCCTCATCGTTCCTCTCCACATTTGCTTTATAATAAAAACTCCTGACTTCTACTCCTTTTCCACACCCCAAACCTAGGTAGATCATCAAGCAGTATTGTTTCTGTTTTGATTAGTTTAAATTAGCAATCCATTAGTTCTTTGAAATACCAGAGTAAGCAATGAGGAACCCAACCCAAATTTTACTTTGCATCTAGAAGAAAACCTCCGATCTCTTTTGTCTATTCCTGGGAACTCTCTACAGCATTTCCAAACTACATTGTTTTGTCCTTGATTAATCTCATCAATGTTTTGTTCTGAGGGACCCTCACATTAGCAAGCCCTCCAGACCCATTTTTGGGTATAACTAGCCCAGCCCAGCCCCATTGCTGTGTTCATGTTGTTTTGAGAGCCTAGTGACACATACCCTCAATATATTGGGTTCTTCCTCTCCATGAAGCACTGGTTATTTCACCATCTCTCCTTCTCCATGGATTCATCGACTTCTTCAGGACAGGTAGCTATCACCACACTCCCTGCTATGCTCCTGCTCCTCCCATTATTTTCTATAGATTGTGGGTATGTGTATGCTCCATGTATGCTCCTTGTATGGTAATCTCCTTGTTTTCCATTCAATAAAACATTATCTATTTTACTTCTGAACTGTTTATTGAGAGCTCTCTCTCTTATAGGGAAAGTGAGTGAAAGATCCCTGTAGACATAGGTAGTAGATCCTCAATAAATACCCCACCTCTTACTGAGGCCTGCCATTTAGCTAAATTCCCCTAGAGGCTGAAGGCAGTGATTCAGCTTCTTAAGTCTACACAGGTAGGGGTAACAAGTACTACTTAAAACAAGCCGTGCTGACTATTTGCTTGGCCACTCTACAAACCCAAAGAGTCCACTCCAGTAGACTCCAGTCCACTTTACATCCCTCAAGCATCCATCCACCCACTCTACACACCTATATTATGGTGAAATCAATATTTTGATATTTTAAAAAATCTGATGCAGCTGTTAAACTGAATATATGTATGAACATTTATGGACAATAAATTTCCCTTTCTTACGAAAGAATTACTGCCTAAAGGAATCTTTCTTTTGTTTGCCAGAATTTCATCTCTAGACTGAATTTTTAACACAATTGTATAGTAGATCCATTTTGACAACCACCCTTTGCTGTCCCACCAATGACTTTTGACTTCCTTTTTTAACTAGCTGCCTTTTAATTTATCACGTATGGTTGTCTTAGCTGAAGGCAAAAAACCAATTATGGTCTTTGGTTACTTTCCCCTTCCACAGTGTTTCATCAGATAACGTCCTATTGTCTTCTTCCAATACGATAACATTCTGTTAATGGATGTAATTCCTAACTTTGATCAATCAGATTTTAATTAAAATACAGATATCTAAATGTAACAGCTATTACCAAGTACAGAAAAGAAATAAAAGAAATACAAGACTGCACAAAGAAACATATGTATGATGAAATAAAATTTCCTGTTGTGGCAATCTAAAGTATTATTGTAAGATCACTGGATAGTAGTATTTGATCCCCTGGAAGCCTCAGACAATTAATATAAATGCTTATCTAATTGTTGGCAACGAGACCCTATTTGCTATATGTATGACTAGAAATAAGGCCCGTTGTGGAAATAAATACAACGGGAGCTAGAAAGAGGCTCTGGGAGAGTGCTCTGGCTTTGGGCAAACAGTGTCAGTCTGCTTTTAAAACATGAACCTGGGACCTGCACACCACCAGAATACAGCAGGTTCCATATGCAACTGACATCCCAACTGCCTTGCGGTGTGGGGGGGGGTTGAGGTGTGGAATGGACTGAAGTCCAATCAGCTTCCATATGCAAAAGACCAGGTTGTCGCAGCAGTTGTGGTGTGGGCGGGACCCGGGCTTTGCCTTCTGATTGGTGGCGATATATGCTGAGGAGCAGTGCCATCAGCCATACACTAAGGGAGTGCATTTTAGAATTAGAACTTTGGCACCCACTATTCAATTATATATAAGGAGAGATAAGATTGCCCTTGGATCAAAGTTAAATACTGGGGGAAAACAACAGGAACAACAGGAACTGATTTACCAGTGGATTCTTCAGTGACAGTGTCTATATTAGCAAGAGTTTGGCAGAAGCAAGTGCCTGAACTCAAATTTCAATTGTTAAAAACCACTAAAATCTTAGTCGCTCAGTTCTGAAAGAACAATGAGACAAAATTCAAAAATTCCAGGGGCAGCCTTAGTGATACTAGAGGGGGCTCTAGAATCACTAAGTGAAGCTAGTAAGGCATTTTCAGGGCAGGTGCCAGCAGCAATCAGCTGGGGGGCAGTCAGAGGGGGTACCCTCCCAGCATCCTCTACACCTGTGTCCAGAATCAGATAGGATACCATCTGGATTCTGCACGACCAATACTGGGGATGGAGTTGCAATGACCCACTGGCCTCCCAGCTCCACTCTTGGCTATCTTTCTCTTCTCAGGGGCACTGATGGTGGTTAGGGCTGTCAATCATGCTCCTGTGTAAACTGGAAATAAGGCTGGCACTTCTGCCAACTGAGGCATGGGCCTCAGTATCTCCAGAAAGGATCAGGAAGGTGAGACAGGCAGCCACATTCCCCTTGAGCTTTTAGTACAGAGAGATCTCACTGTGAGAGATTGTCAAGCCCTACTGGGCAGGTGCTGTCTGTGACAGTCCTTGCCATCATCATCATCATCATCAGAAAGGCCAGCAGGGTTGCCACCAGTGCTCCCTCTAAGCTGTGGAGTCTTGTGAGCAAAAATTCTGCTTTGTGAGCTACTGGCATTAAAGTTATGAGCGAGCGATTTGGCTGCTGCATAAATTAGTTTGCTCTGGAGTTCGCTTTCTTGGGCTAAGACAAAAATGAGTGAGCCAGAAGGTAAAAAATTGTGAGCTAGCTCACACTAACTCAGCTTAGAGGGAACATTGGTTGCCACCGTGGGTGCTGGATGGTTGGAGTTCCTCAGCTTGGCTCCCATCCAGCATGAAGCCTGATCAGTTACTGCATTGCTAAGACAGCCCCTGAGATAACATGCATCTTCTGATATGTAAAAATCCACTGGTTTGTCTGCTGGTTTTGCTGGTTTGATAGCCAGCCACCTTACTGCTAGGAGGAATGATAATTAAAAACTGACACTAAATACTGTATACAACAGTGCTCCATAAAGCACCCTAGCTGGTGGAATGAGCTCCCATATGAGATCAGGGCCCTGCGGGAACTTTTACAGTTCCGCAGGGCTTGCAAGATGGAGCTCTTCCACCAGGCTTTTAGCTAGGGTGACGGACGTCCCTCCCTCCCTCTCTACTGGACCTCCCCTCAGTGGGTCAGAACCATATAACCATCTAAGGACCAAATCTTGAAAGAGATGACATCTGTGAGGATAACTTGCACTGGATGAATGTTGTATTTTATTGGTGTTTTAACTGTTTTAATTTTTGTATACTGTATATTGTTTACTAAATCTGATGGAACCCACCCTAAGCCTGCTATGCAGGGAGGGTGGGATATAAATCTAAATAAATAAATAAAAATGTCAGATCTTAGAGGATAAATGCTTGCATTCCATTTCAAGATCCAAAAGACTCATATCACCATATCTAATAGAATATGCACAAACAGTACATAGAAATTATAGTCCCAGATATACAGTCATTGCAAGTACCTGTATTCTCTGCCTTTTCAGTGTTTCCTCCAGTGCTTGTTAAACCCCCTTGGACACAAATATTTTGAGAACGAATGTGGCCCATTTGCTATAGGATTATAGCAGACCTTGGGGACTTGGACTCAAGCTGCCACAGGCAAGTCTTTTTCTGCTTTAACATTTGCAGTTCAAAGAAATTCAGCCTACTTTATTAAAGAGCCACAACTGCTACCTAAAACTTTATCAAGGTATATAAATCAAATTGTTTTTTAAACAGATACTGAGTTCTATTAATGGCAGAAGTGCTATCAAGTTGCTGATCTGGATAGTAAAACAGAAAAAAAAAATCATCTGTGGCTGCTGCACAATTATTTATAGAGTAGAGAAAATGCCTATGAGCATTTAGGGAATATACTAGTTTCTAAATCATGTTTTATACCTTTTTTATCTGGTGCTCCCAGCCCTTCCTCCGGGCAGCTCAGGATGACATATGTGATTCTTCCTTCTCCACTTTATCCTCACAACAACTCAGAGAGGTACGTGAGTCTAAGACAGATTGACTGGCCCAAAGTCACCCAGTGAGCTTCATGGAAGACTGGGAATTTGACCCAAGGACTAGACCCTAACCTGACGTCACCACTAACACTGCATTGTGTCTTAAAACATTCTTAAGACTGGAGGAGAGACTGGAATGTGATGTGATACCATTCAAACA